TTAAGTTATGCATATAACGCATAGTTTTCTTTTTGGTCTGTTGTTTACAAAACAAGGAAAATAATTTATAATGAATAATAAATAATGATATTATTTCTCTGTGTCATTAAGTACGCGTGTAGTATTAGTATTTATGATTACAATATTATGTTTTTTATTTCGTTATCATGGTTTATTATAATATTCAATTATGATTATCTGTATAATATATGACGCTTTCTATGAAATATGAATGTGTTCATTTTATATTTATATACCCACTTATATTTGATATTTCCAATGTCTCTATTATAAACCATGTCTATTGTTTAAATCAATTCATCTAATAATCTTTTGAATTTTATATTTGATTTCTTATGAATCTTAGTACTATATAGCAATGAATTAAATAGTATTGTATATTTTAAAAGACACATGCTGAGAACATTCAATACGCACACGATTATTGTTATGTCACAGCCGTCTTACAAAATTTTGAACCTAAATAAATTGTAATCAGTAAATTTTACACAAAAATATCTACATGAATTATTTATCCAATATATGATTAAATAATTATTTGTCATTATTTATCGTCATAAATATTTTAAAAGATTTAGATGACTAAGATTCATAAAATTTGTAAATTTGCAGTACCTGTGCTATTGATCTATTTTATTAACTTTGGGTTTTAAAAAGACAATATAGCAATTAATATAGTTAAATTAAAACATATTTATTATTTACTACTTTTTAGAATATAACTTATACGTATAAATTAATATTTATTTTTATACATTTTTACTATTTTTTGTATAACGGTTATTAAATAAATAATAAGCCGCGATAGAAAATTAAAACATTGATTATTTTAATCATATCAATCAACGTAAATTTTTAAAAATAAACTATTATTTATATAATTTAATTAATATTCATTAAGCAACATATTTTATTGGGATATTATTATAAGATATTTGTATTATTTAAAAATAATTTTAATATTATTCTATGTATGGGCTATAGAATACATTTACTAGACGTAAACTTATTATTTAATTTTTACTTAAACTTCTAAATTGTTTCTTTTAATTATTAAAAAAAAAACTTTACTTATTAACGAAGTATTAAATATGTATTTTATATCATTTTAATAAAATAAAGTGTAACTAACAATATTTCAAATTAGATAAGTATATTTTTAAATTTTTAACTCTTTACATTTTAAGTTGTCTATCTATAGTGAATAAATAATTAATTTATCGTAGTTTTGTTATAGCTGTTATTATTTATTATTTATTTATTAATATTGAGAGAATATATTAATGCTTCAAAACATTTTACCATTATAATTTTATTGCTGAATTTAGTGCGTATAAAGATAAATTCTATTAATGTATTAACATTGTTTAAGTTTTATCTACCTAGTTGATAAATGAAAATCTAAAAACTAAATAAAACATGAATTGATATCGTACACTTAATCAACGCAAACATCATTAAAAACTTGATATTAATTCTTAGGTGTTTGCAAAGACTATGATATCATTACAATAAATTGTTATAAAAATTAAAAAAAAAAAATTGACAGATGATAAATTACGAATTATGATTTATTGTAATAATCAGTATTAGCGATAATATTATTTATCACAATAACTGTTATCGAGTGGCTTTTAACTTAAATTTAATTTCACTTCATAACTTAAATATCACACATCATTTATGGTAGAAATACAGCGATATTGACAAATTATATACGTACACTATGACTTGAAATCATGTATAGGACTTTACAAGGAATCAAGTTCTGATCTGACAGAATATTTCTGTGATTAATAACACAACATTCAATATATTCTATTGCATCTTACAAAATATTGGTATCGTTTGTCTTATGTGGTCTTAATATTGGTCAATGACTGAGGCTTCAGAAGTGCACAACGCCAATTATATAATAGCAATTCCATGTAAAGAGTGGCACCTAACCTAACCTACTTGTTTTCATCTATTTATTAATTTATTGATATAAAAAAAAATAATATAGATATATTTATTTGGAATACGCATAAAATGTGTGCCTTCATAAAATTTCAAGTGGGTCAGGAAAATATTATAATATTATATACTTGTGTTTTAAAATTTGGTTCGTATTTTGAGTATACATTTAAATATGATGAAACTCATTCATAGATTTTCATGGTTAAATCATTTTATTATTCGACATTTTTACCTACAAACATTTACTGAATAAACTTACTGTATAAGCATAAAAAACAATGAAGTATTAAATAATAAAGTAGATACCTATAGATTAAACACAAACAATTATTTTTAAAGTAAAATAAAGGTTAGTTTTTTTTTGAAAATTACATGTACCTAGGTAATCATTATTCTTATTTAAAAAAAAAAAAAATAAAGAAGAGACAGATAGACTGAATGAAAATGCTGGTGTAATTTGAGATGAGATTGGGAAACGCTATAGAGCTTTATGGTGGAACGACCGCAACTCTCGACTTTTTTAAATTAAAATAATGTTTTAACATTTATAAGTTTTTATAATTTTAATAGAACCAAGAAATAAATCACCAACATTTTTCCTTGATGTATGATTAACAATATAATCATATTGTTATATTTATTTAATATTATAATTGACTATATGGAAATTCATAAAATTTACTATTCAAGCTCTCCAACATATTTAGTATAGTCCCATAAAAGACTGATTTTGTTATAAGGAGGACACTATGCACTTCAATTTTATTTCTTATAATATTTATATAGTTGTTTAAAAATATATAGGTAATACACATTTTTTCGTAGTTCATATTTTATTTTTATAATTTTTGCTAAAGTTGTTAAAGCAAAATATTCTTCCATGATAAAATTGTTTGTAATTTTTATTTAAATATTTCTATTTTTTAAAAGCTAAAGAAAAAATATATTTGTACAGTGGCTTAAGTAATTTAATATTTTATGAAAGCTTTAGAACCTAGGTTAAGTTCTATAGCTTATATAAGCTATGGACTCATCAAAAATCTTATTCTTTAGGTCTTATATAATATTATATAATTCATTATGATATTATAAATCTAGATAGATAGCATGAATCTATTCTAGGAAAGTGTGCTGATGTAAGATGTTGGTTGGATTAGACAAACAATGCAATGTCGAGATAATATAAGCACTATTAATATCACTTAAAAACACCAATCATATAGTAATTTATTTTATTAAAAAAATATTATGTTAAATAAATGATCTAAATATTTATTGACTTAAGTTTTAATGATTTTTGGCAATAAGAATAATTTCCAAAGATATGATATTTATGCCTAATGATACTTATTATAAGCTATACTTTTATTTACTGTTCATTTTGTGTAATTTTTTTTCTTGTAAACTGTTAATGTAATCTGTTAATTGTATCTAAATTAATGAAATATTCAATATTAACTTTTATTATACTACAATTAATAGTTTTATAGACATATGAATTACATATATCAATAATTTTATAATGTAACTGTTAATTTGTGAAAATTTACTTTCCTGCGAGCTTAATAAGTGGCTTTGTAAAGCATATTTTGTTAGAAAGGCCTATGTAAAATTTCAGCCTAATAGGTTCTTAATCTGGCCTTACATACAATATAAATAATTTTAATGGTAACTTTTCATAGTCATTAACTTTCAAAATTTCATATAATAATATATTTTGATAATCGATAATAAGTAATTTTGTGATAAGGATGCCGCACGCTGTGATGTTAATTAATATGAATACTATCGAAAGGAAACGAAAATATTTATTGCCGCCTAACCGACAGAGCGCATGCGTAATTTGTTTAAATGATTTTATATGTGTGTGGGTATGTAATTTCGTGTGAACCACGGTAGGCGAGTGAATCAGTTGTCGCCCTAAGTATTTACACTATACGAAAAAACACGATAGTTTTATGTTATACATCATTGAGATTAATATAACTGGCCTTTGGGGGCGCATAATGTGACAGTCGTATGGAGAGCCATTTAAAATTTTTAGTTTTCAACAATGCATTCATATTTGTGCATAGAATATTATTTTTTTATTTAAAAATTTTCAAAAAAACTTAATGATATAAAAGAAATAAAGCATTTTTATAAAATAAATATATTTTTTTAATCAAATGTAAAAAAATTTTTTTTTTTCTTTTCAACTTTTCAAGGAAAATGATGTCTCCTTTGTTTCATTAAAAAACTGCCACTGTAAAAGAGAATAGAAAAATTAATAGTATGAACAAAGTTTACCATTAAGGCTGTAATGTGAATAATGTAGATGGTACCTACATATTATCGCCTCACAAGTTTTTTAAATACAAAATAGTTATTAATTTAATTGTGTTGAAGTTTAATGGGATGGGAAAAATCAATACTAGTTTTCTGTGTTTTCATCGTCGTTAAATTATATGAAATGAAAAATGTTATCAATATATTATGTATATTATATTATATACATAAATATGTGTAAATAATTTTAGAGAAATTTCAATCTAAAATAAGTAGCATACTCATATTAATATACAATATAATTTTCTTACTACTTTTAAAATCATGACTAAAGAAAGTGTAAATTATTATCACTGTTAACAAAACAATTACTCTATACTGTACTATAAATTATTATTTATTCACATATATATAAATAAATCATAAAACATTAATTTAAATTATAGTTATTATATTATTATTTATTTTATAATAACTTAATAGTTATAACTGTGAATACATCAACAGAAACAGTTTGATATTAAACACAATGCATTTTAATTTTGTACTAAAATTAAAATATTTTAATCTTAAATGATTAAATCAATAATTTAATTGACGTAGAATTGTATTAAAATAATATTTTACATCAACGTTATTAAAACAATTTTGATGAAATTATATTATATATATATATATGTATATATATTAATATCATATTTAAGTCTATTAAATAACATAATATGCACACAATTATTTAGAAACAATAACAATAAAAATATCAATAGAGTGAGATCATAATACATAGATTATATTAGGTAAATATATCAGATTGAAATGACTTTTTTTTAACCATCTGTCTAATCGTAATTTTTATGCCGTTAAACTTCAAAGGAATCCTATGTAATATACTTAGTATACATTTATAATATTATGTTCATTAAATCTGATAATATAATGCATACGTGACAGTCAAAATGATTTTAAAAATTAAAATGAATTGATTAGAACTATAAAATGCACGGTTGTGCAACTATGTACATAATATAGCGATTTAAAGTCGTTTCTACGTTAATTACAAATCGAAATCAGATTTAAGTAAATTTCTCTCATTCTCAACAACTTGTAATGACGAAGAGTTATCGCACACCAATAATGCGCTTAGGTATACTGGGTCCGGCTACTGAGTAATAATTGTTTTATAATATTATAATAAATATGAATGGTGCTTATAGACGTGTTGCAGTTATATTGTTATCATGCATCACAGTCGTTTCCGTTATAATTTGAGCCAGTTTTTCTTGATCATGTCGGATGCTTTCTCGCCGATCATGAAAGCCATCGCATTGGTGTGCCCGGCTGGTATGACGGGTATGATAGAAGTGTCAACCACTCGGAGACCTTTAATACCGCGCACCCTGAGTTTTGAGTCCACTACGGCATCCGGGTCCGTTTCCGGTCCCATCTTGCAAGTGCCTGACTGGTGATGCAGATTGGTAGACACTAGTCCGGTGGCGCACATCCAATACGCATCTGACATGAATAGCTCGTGTTCGCAGCCAGGGAATGGTATCGGCAATAACCTAGACCCATATTTTTGGAATGACGGAGTTCTGCTCACTGCGATAGCCTGTGAAAAGAATTACCACGTCAATTAAATAATTATTGGTGCTTTACGTTATAATGATGTATTATATCACAGAATATAAATAACACATGTTTAACGAGGTTAGGTACATATTTATACATAGATAGGACATATTGTATTGTATTCGAGTCTAACTGAAGAGTATACTATAGTTACTACAGTTGCTACGCATGCAATTATTAACAGAGTACCTAAGTAATAGTATCCACACCATCATCTGATACCTAATATTAGATAATAATAATAATAACAATAATTATGATAATTATTTGTTATTGCAATAATATTAAAATATTAATAAAGAAATTTCTAAAGTTAAAATTTCGGATGATAGGATTATTGGTGGAATTGTTATCATTAACCATATCCACAACCGCATATAACCATTGTCGTAACTAGTAAATTCTTTATCACAGTATAATTAACATGTTACATCTATATGTGCAACATTATTTATTTATTCATTGAGTCTGCAGCAAAGTTGAGTCGATTTACAACTCAAATGAGAGCCTCGCAAAGTTTTTTATTTTATTAAATGCAACATATTATCAGTATTATACATGCACTAATTATTAAATAAATAACAATTTTATTTTTTATTTAATGCTGGTCAAGTTTAATACAAAGTATATATTATTATTTTATCATACTTATAAAGTGATTTTTAGTGATTTCGCATTTTTATCATCCGAGAAATGCAATCAAACAAAAACTATATTTAAATTAGAATTACCAACACTTTAACCCTGAAAGTGCTTAAATGCCAATCAATATTAGTTTAGAACTAGTTGATTTTTTTGGATTATTATTAACTCTAAAAAGTAGACTCATTATATGATTACAAATTTATGTTGACTACGTATTTACAATGGATATTATTTACTATGGATAGTAAACATGGATGGGCAACTGGCGGCCTGCGAGACATTTTTGTCTGGCTCGTGGTACATTTTCAAATTACATTATACAATTTTAAAGTTAAAAATGCACAGTATAAATAAAATAAATGCTAATTAAAATGCATATTTTGAATAACTTTTTGCCTTCTATGCTCTGGCCTGCTAGAATTTTAATTTTCTAAAAATTGGCTCTATAGTAATTTTAGCTGTTCATCCCTGACCTATATCATTTAAAATTTAATAATTTATTAAGATTTTGGTATTAAAAATAAATAGAAAATATAATTACCGCCTAAAAAATATTTGTAAATTGATTAAATCAAAAATAGTATATAGGTCAAGTTTGAGCTATCATTTCAAAAAAAATGTAAATGTCTTACCTTTGGAGGTAAGCTATTAATATATTATTTTTATTTTGGCCACATTCAAATATTTAATACATAGGTATGTATATGGAACAAGGTTAAAATGTATATTATGATTGTATTATTGTATTGAACTATCAAATAAAAAAAAATTTATCATTTAATCATAATGTAGGTACTAACAAATGTAATAGAAAATAAACATGAAAAAGATTTCCTCTGATACTATATTAGAATCAAAAATATATATAATTATAAACTTATGATGTTATAAAAAAAGATTCATGTTTTTAATTTTTAATTTGTAGGCACCTATGTGTTATTAACGCTTACTTACTATCTTGTATACATAAATGTTGTTCAAGCATGTCATTATATAATAAAATAACTTCCTTCTAGTTCTATAATTACGAGCATTAAATGTATTAACTGTTTAGCTACGGTAAATTATGGTTATGATGTACTACTGAGTAGTATTATTGGACACACGCCATAACGGAAGTATTACACTGAAATAAAGTAAAAGCGTTGCAATGCGGAAAAATTGAAATCGTAATCCAAAAAAATATTTGTTTAATAAAATAAATAAATACACACTTTTCGTGGTTCGTAAATATTGGTAAAGAAAAGCATCTTAGAAATTACAGATGTCCATCAATAATGTATTCATATAAATAAAATATATTATATCTTTAATATAATATATTACTTAATATTATATGGAAGTATTGAACCTAATATAACAACGATCAATAGACTAAACGAAGAATTTTTAATGTACATATAATATAATTATAAAATACCGCGTTTTGATTGTTTAATTAACAGAATTAACAGTTTTGTTGAAACAACTCATTATAAACAGAACTTTCATCGTGTTATAATAGTGCTATATCATAGTAAGTAAATTATAAACAAAATATAATTACTAAAATTATTAAATCATTTTTAACAATTAACACTGACACTGTTTAATCCTCATTTGTCGATTATTAATGATATATTATTATGATTATAGATCCATAGCAATATTACATTGTGTTTCACGACATCAACTCGCCGCGTAATATAGTACTATGAAATTATATTTAAATTTTGTGAAACATTTCGGCGATCGATACATTTATAATAGTAATAATATTTTCTCCTGACACACGCGTAATTTTCTCGTGAGTGGGCGACTACGAATCTAATAATAGTATAGGTACCTACGTCATATCGATTGTTATTGATCTCGAAACTATTTGGCTCGTACGTTTTCAGTTTATGTCAGCAAAAATATTTTATGATATGTCAAAATATAATGTATATAATATGATATATATATATTTTAACAGTAAGAGTCTTAGACATATCAAAATAAACTATATTTTTCGAAACAATATATACATATTATTATTATTATAAAATATGCAATTGTATTTTATCTATTTTTCGTCCTTGCGCTCAAATGGTTCATTTATCTAGATTCTTCTAGAAATCGTTGATTTTCGAAAAGTGATCAATATTATATTGTTTTCGATTTCATTACCCAAAACAACATTTTACTGAGTTAATACTTTCCTAAAATTGTTTGCGCATCAAAAAAAATGTTATTTTTATAATACGTCGGCGGCATAAAACTGAACGGTTTTTATTATTATTATTTTTTTTTATTAATAATATTATATTTCAAAGTTCACAGGATGTCAGTCGAGTATGTCCTGAAAATATCGCTCGGTATCTGAAGTGACCCCACCCCAACACACACGCATACACAAACACAAGCCTACACAATATATTTCTATGGATGATTGATGATGACCATTGTGACGAATACAATTTGATCGCAATCGCGCCTTTAGTGTTACGTATAAATGACAGTAAACGGGTGTGGGGGGGGGAACTCTGATTTCGGGAATCGTCGACGTCTGTCACCGAGAAAGCCGGAGGGTCACCCTTCCGAGGGCATACGTATCCGACTCGCGCGTGCCTACGAACTGTATTACTCGGGCAAATGTCAGAAATCTCGCACCGCGTACGAACGGTCGAAAAGCGCGGACGGCATAAACCGCGTCGCCGTCCCGAGACTCGCCCGGCCCGATCGACGTTTTTGCGGCGAGAAGTAATTATTCTCCTACGCCGACGAAGATCGCTTCGCGCTGACCAGATGAGCGCGCGAAACCGGTACAAGGCCGTCGGGTCGCGTCGCGAATTTAGCGCGCGCGTTCTCCTGCGCGTCAAGGTCCTCTGACCCGCCGCGTGACCGGCGGCGCAGGAGACGGGATACGATAAAAATAAGACACAGTACCGCCGCGCCATAGTCACCGATACTCAGATCTCAGACGGATGAAACATAATGCCAACGCGCCGCCGCGGCGACAGACGGCCGGTTAATAATAATAATAATAATAATAATAATGGCGATATACACGAAAACCGGTTACCGCGGCGCGAAAACATTACGTAACGACACGCGGAGTAAACAGCATATTATTATTATTATTTTTATTACTATTATCATTATTGTTATTACCACTGAGAACGGCTTATTGTTGCACATACGTATATGTATGTGTTATTGTTGTTATCGTCGTTGTCGTTGTTGCCGCGCACCGGCGCGGAGTTCGGTCGATTCCGATTGTAGGCCGCCAGACGACTTGACGAGCGCACGCGCGTTTTTTTTTTTTTTTTCTAAAAAAATAGAGAAAACGGACCGGCAAACGCGCGTAACACACAGAATCATGCATAATAATATTATTACGCTGTTAATAACATTGCGCGTCGCGCACGCGACTCACGCAGCGAGTCGAATAAAAAATAAGACTTATCACCGTACATCGTGTATTATATTGCACACGTCTCGTTCGGTACTTTCGCGAACCCGCGTCGGCGTGATGTACTCGCTTCGCACACCCGTGTACGTCGTACATTAATACTATTATGACGGATGTCGCAGCACAGTGCCCGCGAAATAATATTTGGCCGAGTCTCTGCCGTCACCAAGTCCGTTATCGATCGCTGACCGCGTGTACAATTTAGTCGTCCGACAAGCGACGCGGAAACGTACATCGGAACTCTCGGAGTAGTGGGTACGCCCGTTTACTCTGGCGATTACGACGTACCTATCGTCGTATTTCGCTAAATTGAGAAGAAAAAAAACCGATCACGCGTTCGAAGGGGGAAGAAAACTGTATCGACCCGAGTAAAGTCGTGTATTGAACAACGAGAACGCTATTTTGTCACCCGTTCGGTGACGCGGATACCATAGCTCGTATAGTCTTGTATGCGTGGATACGTGCAGTGGCGTGTCATACACGTGTGCGATGTGTGCAACTGCCACGGGCCCTCGGCTTGGGAGGGGGGGGGCATATTGCTCAACGTTCCAAAAAAGAAAAAATTAAATAAATACAGTTATTTACGAAAAAATAAAAAAAATTATTTTCGATTTCAAATGGTTCTCGTTTTCTCTATCTCATATCAGCATAATATCATCTTTGTTATAAAATATAGATATTATATTCCTGTGATGTACTGTAAGTTAGGTTAGGTACTTCTGTGACGGCGACTAAACGTTATTTACAGCAATCTGTTTCCCGTGGTTTTTTGTTATCGTCTTGTCGCTTACAAGCCGTCATATTATAGATAATTTTATCGTTCAGATCTTGTTTTAAAAAAGAAATTACAAAACGAACATCTGTAAAAGCAATTACCGAATTACTTGTTATAAAGAACCCCACACTAGCAATAACATTTTCTGAAATATGTACAGCGTGCGTGTTATTTTTGACACTTTCTGTAACAGTTGCTACAACGGAACGATCATTTTCAAAATTAAAACTGATCAAAAATTATTTACGGAGCACAATGTGTGAAGAAAGGTTCAGGGGACTTGGAATTTTATCTATTGAAAACGACCGAGCTCGTCAGTTAAATTTAAAAGAAATAATTAATAATTTTGCAGAAAAAAAAGCATGCATACGAAATTTCCATTCAATTATTATATTATTATTAGGTACTATATTCTTATCATTATTAATAGATATATTATGTTATTTTATTTGTTTGACGTAATATCATCTTATTTTTTAAGTAATTGAAATTTTAATAAAAATGGAAAGTACCTTGTGAATTTATATAAGAACTTTAGAATAATAATTTTTACTTTAAATTTGAATTTATATATCTATATCTACATTTAGAATTTTAAAAAAATGAGGGAGGCCTTTTTTAAGGTTTGCACTCAACTCCATTTTTGGGATAAACCGCCACTGGATACGTGCAATAGCCAATGAGTATCAAATATCGATAATAAAACAAGTATCAGTATTTTAAGATAACGCACCTAGACACTCGCGATGTTTAACGAGCTTATCGATGACTTTGATGTTGCCAAAATTATTTTATAGCATACTCATCTAACCTACATACACTCGAATAGCGGAGAGCATAAACAACTCGAATTATTCGATATAGAACGACTGTGTGCAAGTATTATACAATAATAAACACACGACAAAAACGAGAGTAAATAATGTATTATAATATTCAGTATACTAGAAATATGAGTACAGGGCAATATATTTTTTTTAATATGCAAGTGGAATGTTGTATACGCATAATTGTTACGACAGAGTTTTATTTTTTTAAATATAGGCTTGCCGTAGGGCCTTAGGTTATTTGAGGTTAAAACACACACAATATTATGATACAAATAACCTTCATTGACTTGTACAAAATTTTGTATATTTATATTCGTAATAAACTCATGCCAAATAAACAAAATTAACTACCTGTCAGCTATTGCTTTCATAATCGCATCTCCTGGCATGTTCAAGGTAAACAGTTTACAAAAAGTAACGGTTTTAATCAGTTGATAGTTTCGTTTAAAAACACTATTATCACCATATTTTCAGGGACGTCTTAAGATTTCTTTAGAAGCTTAAAACAACATTTTATTATAGGAACTATTTTAGTGTGCGATACAAAAATAAAAATATCTACAATACGAATTTAAAAAGCGTATGGTATATATTAATGTGTTAATATTTTCAGAAAACTGTTTACAAATTGTTCACCCTCTCCCGCAAAATATGATTAATTAAAAAATAAATAAATAAATACGCAATAATATGAATTTTTATACATCATTTCTTGCAGTTTTAATATGTTTTAATGTCGGAAATTGAAAGGGAAACCATCAAACCGATTATCAAATTGTCGTCAGACTTATTACTTAAAAATGATCGATTTGGGTAAAAAGTAATTGTTCCAGATTAGGTATAGTTAATTTTTGTCGATATTAAAATAAATACAATTTTATTTACGATAGCTCTTTTCACCATATGTGCCTGTTCAACAATTCACCGTATGCGGTAATTTAAATTTAAAGGTACCTATTACGTTATAGTTTATAGTAGTCATGTCAGATTATAACATAGCGCTGTTTATCACTGTCTTTAGATTTTAAATGATGTATATTATTGCGTGGAGACAGATTATTAAAAACAAGTCAGTTTTATTACTATGTATAAGCAATGTATCAGCTACTCTGTTGTTGGATATCATCACAATTCATTATTACGTATAAACCTCAATTACATGACGTATGGTTCTTTTAGATTTTCATTAAGCACATATTACTTTTGCCCATTGTCTGTTGTGTTTGAATCATATAAGTTGTATATTTTAATTGACATAATAACTTTACTCCTCACAATAGTATTTAGAATAATAAAAATAATTACCTGTTTTATTCCTTCGACAAGAGTTAGTCTATCCCGTTTGTCCGTCAGATAACCGGCGTAGAAAAGTGGCGCGTGTAACGGATTGGCCGATCTCAGCTTAATGCGTCCACGACTCTTGGGCCGGAGCAGGATCGGCACTAGACCCCAAGCGTCGTGTTCCCGGAACTTGCCGTAAACCTTATCGTAGAAAGTATCGTTCATGCCTAACAACCGGCGCAACGATCCACCCGTGTCACCGGTCAGCGCCCCGGGACCGAACACTAGTTCCATGTCGGGTGTCACGAACTCGTTGGTCGCATACCGCGTGGATGTGAACGCCACAGCTTCCGCGCCACCGGGTATAGTGAACGGGCCCTCGCCATTGATGGCATACTGGAGCAGGTACTTGGGATTTCGGTATCGGCTCTCGATGATGGTGACCGATTGGTTGACCAGGAACACTAGCCCGGCCATGGACACGTGGTCCTGCAGGTTGTAGCCCACCTTGAGGTTCTTGACTAAGGGCACGCCGACCTCAGCCAAATGGTCGGCCGGCCCTATGCCGGACAACATCAGTATCTGCGGTGTATTGAGCGCGCCGGCACTCAGTATTACTTCCTTACGCGCGTGCACCACAATGGTCTGACCGTTTTTAATGAACCTGACGCCGGTGGCGCGTTTGGTGTGCGGGTCAACGAGCACCTTGGTGACTAGCGACCGTTTGGTGACGGACAGGTTCGGTCTGTTTCGGATCGGCCGCAAAAATGCTTTGGACGCGCTACAGCGGGTGCCGCGATCCATCGTGGCCAGTACGTACGAGAAGCCCATCGGCCGTGGTCCATTGTGGTCAACTGGCGCGTTGTAGCCTAGCTCGCGGCCAGCGCGTAAGAATGCTGGGCCCAGTTGGGTCTTCCACGTGGGCTCCTCTACCTTGAGATACCCACCGCGGCCGTGGTACGGCGATTCGGTCATCGGACTCTGTCTGACGTCCTCCGATTTCTTGAAGTACGGCAGCACGTCGGCGTAACTCCATCCGTCGTTGCCCAACCTGGCCCAGTTATCGTAATCGTCCGGCATGCCACGCGTGTACACCATATAGTTGATAACGCTGGTGCCACCCATCACTTTTCCCCGTGGCCATCGGCATTTGCGATCTTCCATCGCCCCACATATGCCGTTCTGCGGTTCGGTCTGATAGCCCCAGTCGAATCCGCTGCGGATCAGGTAGCTGACCAATAGCGGTATGTCCGTCATGAGGTTCTCCTCGCCGCCGGCTTCAATCAGTAGCACCGTCCAACCGGCCACCTCGGTCAACCGGTTGGCCACCACCGAGCCACCGGAACCGGCGCCCACCACCACGAAGTCGTAATACCGCTTCACGTAATCCGTGTCCGGCACCACGTCCAATGGTTCCGGTCCCAGCTTCCGGTAATATTCAACCACTGCCTGGAACACGGTGTACGCCATGCCGTGACCAGACCCGGCTAACGACAGAGTAACCACGACCACCGTGAATACCACACTCGCGGCGTTCATTGTGGAATGTAAATACACGAAAAAACAAAACAAAAATATGATGCTGCGAGCTAAACCGCCGAGATCCACAGTCCTCGAGTTATTGATCGATGGCAGTGCCGTTGTCGATCGCTTTGGGTGCGAACGCACGGCAGCGCGTCCGTTTATTTTTCCCTCTAAATCTTTTGCAGCAATAATATAAATACCACTACCATTGCTAATGCCGTTATCGTATATTTAACTGTTATTGAATCTCTACTTAAATGTGTTATATAGAATTTCTCTTCCGCCCCTCCGCTAAACGAACGAATTATAGACGCCTTTCGCCAACTTCACCTTCTCTAACACATAGTGGTTAACGCTAAGATAATAATAAATTGTTGGTAATATGTTTGCTCGGTCAACCAGACGCCGTGTTGTTTTATGAATGATATAATATCATTTAATTCGAGTTTTATACATTGACGCATGTTGTTACCAAGGTCAGTAAAAAAAAAAGTGAGCCAAATAATTTTATTTTTTTTTCAGAAAAACGTATATTTTAGGGTTTTTAATTGAACAGAATTTTGTTCAACGCTAGAATTATTAAAATTCGTTATTTTTCTATTTGATAATATTTTAACATTTTATTATATTGAAACACATTTATTTTAATTTGACTTAAATAACATCTGTTAATATGTATACATATTGTTAAATACAGAAAATTCCGCTTCATTGGAATACATTGATCACGAGTTTTTTTGTCACAAAATTTAAAATTTAAATGTAAAAATCTTTTATTATTATTTATTATAATAAAATGAATTATGACTGTTTTGATTTAAAATTCCAGTAATATAATATACATATTATTCTTATTATCTATGTGTTTTATTTAAAGTTACGAAATACAAATACGCAGCACTTGGATTTAAAGACTTTAATAAACATTTCACACATAATCTTGTTCGAGTCCGTTCTAAGATTGTTTTGGTCTTTAACGATATTTTATGGGACTTTGTTAATATATAAGACTGTCGTTAGTATATTAGTATTTACCTATTTTAATACACATCATGTAGGTACATATAATACATTTGTAATAATTTTTCTTCTTATGATTTATCGTGATTGAATTTAATAAAGAAAAATTAATTACTATAATTTATAGCATATAGCAAAGAAGCAGAAAATACATAAAACAACAAGCATAGACAATTAAAAAAGACAATTAAAAAAGAACCGTATAGTTCCGTGATTTTTAGAAAAAAGGAAATTAAAGTTGTAATTATGTTGTACTAATATCGATGATAAGCAAAAGTTTTATACGGAAAAATAGAAAATAAAATAAAGATGAAAGAAACTCGTATCATATTTTCCCAAGTGTCATTAGTAGACAGTACCCAATAGGAAACGAACTGGTATAAAAATGTATATTTTTATTGAAACAAGATATTTAAAATTTGATAAGAAATGATCACTATTTAAATAAATTTTATTAAAATAACGTCAATTTTATTTTACATATTTTTAAATATTTCACTAATTTGTAAATATTATCACATATTATATAATTTCATCATTCATACGTTTTCAAGTCATGTTACAGTGAACGAAGCTCTATGTTCTCATAGTTATTGTAAAATAAATCTTTTTGAAAGCATTGAGTCGTACCACAATTTTTAAAGAAATGTACCTTGATCTTGCTCTACCACCTGAGCCAGTATTTACTAAGTAGGGCACATTGTTGGTAACTGTTCAATATTATTTTGAGAACTTTTTGAAATAACAAGAAGTTATTTCAAAATTAAATATAGAAACTTGGTTAACTGGCTATTAGAAAAAATCAAAATTTTATGCAAAATAAAACATTGAAAAAAATAATTTAATTTTCAACACAGTTTTTTTTTCACATAAAATTATAAAATTAGAAACGAAAATTATGTCCTTAAATAATGATATGCAAATTATCAAATCAGAAATAGAAAAAATTAAAACTCGTAAGTGAAAAAATAGCTGGAGATGTAAAAAAGAAAATTCTTGCTGTTACAGATAAAAATCCAGACTATATTGATTTTAAATCAATCAATGAAATAATGACTAACAGACACCTTTCTGAAAATTTGGAATTATTGCCTTCAAATATTATAAGCTTCAAATATGCTCCAATTACATTGGTTGATGATGAAACGATATGGGACATTTTAAAAATATTTTGAGATCTAATCGGTGACATTTAACATTCAATAATTTAAAAAAAATTCTAATTATTCAATGCAACACATAATTTTTATACTTTTATAGTTATATTCAAAGTATTTTTTGCATAAATGTATTGTACTTATATAATAATAAAAATATTAATTTTTTTCCACATACTTTAATATTTTAGCACACATATTTTATAAATTATACTTCCATATTTATGTACATATTTTTGTATTTTCATTACATATAAACCCATTCCCTAATTATTATTAATACATTGATTTGTTTTGAAATTTTATTATTGATTTATGTATAATTTGGTATATCATATATTTGTTCTATATTTTTTTGTCAATAGATCCTTCGTATTTTTTACTACAATGATAGGTTTATGGCATATTTTAAATCTCACTGTAAAATTTGTAACAGCGTCTGGTTTATATAATTCATAATGGGTCCATAATTTAAAATGTTATTATTGTTCTCAATACATCAATTATTATTGTATACATTATTATATATTTTGTTCAAAACAATTAAAAAGTAACAAACACTTGTACTGCATTATAAAATATAAGACATATTAACAGTAATAGGTTACATATGTTTGTAAATTCACGTGTTGTACATTTATACATTTACATAATATGTACAACATACCAAACTAAATCTTAAACACATGTTTTAAAAAAATGTTTGAAAACTATATCAATAAGCTAATATATTGATTTTTGTTTCATTATATCTTAAAGATAAAAGTATTACAACATATTTAATTACTATTATTGTCATATACTCATGTTACTATTCAAATTATTATTACACTATTAAAATATTATTTTTTGGAGATGTTATTACTGTAATTAGATATAAAAGAGCCGCAATTATTAATCAATAATCTTTTTAGTTCATAGTATTTTATTGCTTTAGATTTATAATCGTAATACATATCTTACACTTTTCTGTATTTATATGAGTGAATCAAGATTTCTTTTATACGGCGTAACTGATAGGTGATATAGGTACATTACTGTGTTGAAAAATATCATTTTAAAACACTACTGGGAGTAACGTATTATCTTACTATAAATAAAAATATAGTAATGCGAATCTATAGAATGCATGATATTTTTAACCCATTATCTAGATTTCAGAGTGTTGTATATGGCTCATTCAAATAGCTCCTATATTTATAGTTATTAAAATTTTAGTATTCTTTATAAAAAATTACATTTATAAATGTTTATATTTTAGTAAAATATTATTTCATAATTTTTTAGAGCATTGAATGTAGTTAATTTTAATGAATTTCCTTTTTATATATTAAGCTATTATACCACAATATAGATAAAAAATTTATGTAAATACCCATATTTTATTTAGTTTATATAATTTGAATTAATACAATAATCTAAATGTTATAAGGTAGTTACTACGTGTTAGAACACCTTGGATTCATAAGATGTATAGTATAATTAGTAGATATTATCTAAATTATTTAATTATTCATAACTAATAAGTGTAAAGTAATTAAAAAATATACTACACCATTGATGGTACCAATAAATATTATTAAGAATATTTAATTTCATTTTGTATTTTATATTAATTTCTTAAATAAGAAGAGAACTGAATGTTTGGCAAAAAATTTTAATACTGTTTAACTCGTATTACTTTAAATTTACTAAAAATGGTAATTGTATCAGACTTGACAAAATCAACATTTATTTAATTTGATATCATTGTTGCACTTTCATCTTATATAATTAAAATCATTTGATTAAGCTACACCAAAATATTAAATTTTATAATTAACAGAAAAATAAAAATGTCTTCTATTAATTATTAACATTATTTCAAACATGCTTATGAACTTTAATAGTATTATTATTATTTTTATATTAATTTTTAGACTCATAAAATTTTATAATATCAGTCTTGAATATAAAATTAATATTTTTAAATTTTAATGTTAAGGAGTATAAATATTTGCAATACTTGGTTAAGGATCAAAGAGTCACAAACTAGCTGGATGAAGGGATACCACCGTACTTGGTACATATATGCTGCGGAGAGTTATCAAAACTTTTTAACTAGTGAAACATGTTGATAATTGTCCATATAATGTTAAATATATGCTTTTAGGCTTTAATAAATATTCCATTCCATAATTTTATATCCTAGTATACGCCTGATCTTGGTGCTGTAATATAAATACATGAAGACATAATGATTTGCCACCAGAAATAGCTGGGCGTACTTTTTATATTTACGATATTAACTCATATACCAAGTTGATTTTTACAGTTATATTTTAAAATCAACTTCTATTCGCCTTAAATATAAATCTAAAGTTAAATACTTTTTATAACTATTGAAATAACAACAAAGCATCGTTTTTTAAAATTTAATGATGCTAAATATTAAACAGCGATATTCATTCAAATTTTAACCGAAAATAATATATTTGAATAGTTTTGAATTCTTATATATCAAAATACAGGTCAATAATAAAATAAAATATAAGCTATTCAATTTTAAGATAATAAATATTAAACATAATCTAATTTGAAAATTCACTTCTCATAAATATTAAAATATTTTTGTTTTTATTGTTCATGATCTTGAGGAAAATTTAAAAATTAATTTCCAGTAAGGATTCAATCTTTTTTTATTCATATTAGCTTATATTAACGTCGAAAACCCATATCAGCAATCGAAATATGTATGTATAATATATATTGTATATTTTTATACGATTAAATTAAAAATTAAACAAAATAAAAAGTAACAAAAAAAATATTTTACTGTAGGTAAATATTAAATGTGGTACGTATCTATACTGCTTATATCTTTTTAGAATTTTTGCAACAATGATTCGCTATTATTAAAATCTACTTACCGACAATCGTATCAAATTTATAAATGTCTATGGTACATTTTAAAATAAACTTTGTATTAAAATTGGGTTTGTTATGAATTTACATTATTTTAATTATGACCATTAACAGTCTTTATAAAAATTAATATTTCTACTATTATTACAATAAAAAAATCTAATCAAGTTTGTGGATAAAGTAGACAAGGTTTTACACCGAGTGTTGACAATAATACTTGATAATACCTATAAGTCAATTTAAAAGTATAAGATCGATCTACGAGGTCAGTTATCGTGATGAGCAAGGACAAAATTACATTTATTTTATTTTCCTCAATTTGATATAAACATATATATATATATATATATATATATTTATTTTTTGATGCATAAAATAATAATACAGCTATAGATATTAAAAGCCAATGATATATAATAATTATATAATGACTAATGAAGTCATTATATAAAATTTTAAATATATTAATTTTATTTTAAATTTAAAATCATAATTAATTATTATAATGTAATTCCTAATATGAGTGGATTTAAGTATATTTTAGGTTAAAATTTATAAAATAATATGTAACTTTTTGTCTTAATATTGTGGCATTATGTCCTTAAAAATAATTTTTACTCTAATTAAATGTAACCTATTTATTTATTTTTTTTGACTTTAAATAAGTATTAAAGTAGTATTTACAAATATGTATAGAACAACTGAACAGGTATATATGATAATTAGGGATGGAAAAAAAATAAATGGAAATGATATAACGTTTATCTTCTGATAAATTAAGTAAGAAAAAATATTACATTAAATCAAAAAATCTCAACACGACTTTTTTCTATGTATAGTACTTATTATCAATTACCATGCATATTACTCACAGCCTTAAGCATTTTTTGGTGTACCTTAATTGAAAATATAAATATAAACTGTATTGATTTCGTATTTTTTAAGAATCTAAAAATTACCAAGTTTAAGTAAAATTATTATTCAAGTTGAATAATAGATTTATTTTAACTAAGAATTCAAACATTTTTTGTAATTGTACAGACAGAGAACGAAAATATTTAACATACTATATATTATATGATAATGATGTATAAAATATATATAATTAGTGGCTTTGGCGGGCATACAAGTAAATAATAAAAATGCTTCTTACACTTAAATTATTAGTATTTAAAACAAATTTTATAACAGGTTTAATTGTTAACATAACCAGTCATACGTTTTGTGAAATAAACTAATAATTTAGCTAGAAAATCGAATAGAACGTGACGTTATATATATATATATATATATATAATAAAACAACATTTATGTTTTACAAATACTCATTGTGTATGTAACATTAGCCGTATTTATAAAAATAATACTTATAAGACATTAGATGCCAGTTTTCAACTATATAAAAACAACGACTGTTATGCACTTATGGCTATATAATATTAATGCTATATAATAATACTGGACCGCTGGCATAATACCTATAATTGATAATGATTTAATAATATGTCAATTAAGTATTAATACAATAATATATTTACCTTTATATAATATATATATGATGTATCGAGAGTTATAGATACACAATATAAGTTATAACTATATGTGTTTATTACATACACACATATATATATATATCAACTGAATATTTCAAATGCACAAACGAGTATTTTTTCGTCCAAAATAGGAAAAACGCCTGAATCGTGTATTGAACATGCAAGTTTAATTGTATAAATTACCATTTTAATTATGTAATAATGTGATAACAACAAACGTGTTTAAACACTAAATAGCATTACGAATAAAATCTACATATAACTGACAGAGTAAAACAACAATTATTGTACGGGCAATATAAACATTAATTATCTAAGTATATTTAAGCTTAAGTATGAAAGTGGTTACTAAAAACTATGAAATGTTTTTAGTTGAAGTACAAAATCCAAATCATATAAATTTTGATACGTTTTTGTAAAAGTAGCAGCAGAAGAAGCCTAGAAAATATATTATACAGATGACTATAGATATAAATGATTTGTTGATCTGTAAGTACAAAATTATTATGTATATTATAAACGATTTTATTGCATTTATGATTTCTTGGAAATTACGGTTATACCAACTAGTAATTCACTATTTTTAATGATTCGTACCTTACACCAACCATTAATTAACTTTGAAAGGTAGTTAAGGGCCGCCGAGAATATGACCGTCTGTACCGCCATAGTAATTTTTGTATCATCACTTGTTACACAGACCACGAATGTAATATTACTCGTGTCAGCGAAAAGTTATACTCGGAAAAATGACGTCATATTTTTAGGGGAAGGGAGATAATAACTCAAGCAATTGTCCCAGTCTAGTGTCTACTGAACCTCGAGACGAGAATGCTAATAAAAATTCAGAAAATTAAAAATTACCGATAACCAGCAGGTCAAGTTTAAGGACGCTCGCATTTAGACAGATTGTTATATAATATACGTAAAACGTAGATTATAGTGTGAGCATGCGATTTTATTGTCATTTTGTGGAATATGATGATTTTAATAACATGTTAATTATAAATCGCTATTAAAAAGTATTTTATAAAAAATGTATTTGTACATTATTTATTTATACAATAATTATTGCTTAATTCCATATGCGCAAAAAAATTCTACAAAATAAAGTGTATTTTATAAGTTAGATATAAGTTTATACTTTATACTGTATTAATATAATGTAGAATTATCTTAAATGGTTGTCAACTTTCGTCGTAATATTGTCGTTACAATTAATATGATACGATAATACTTAACTTCAACTGAACTCAATTATTGTTGATGTATTTTTAAATTGTAAAAATACTATATATTTAATTAAAATAAATAATTTAATTTTCATAATAATTAATAGTTTTAAAATGAAACTTATAGTGTGACGAATAAAATATTTATTTTTGCGCTTTTATTTCACTACCAAGGTACAAAAGCGCAAATTCGTTTTGCGCTTTTGAGTTTCACCAATTTTATTTTATTTCTAAATCTTTTGCAAAAATTATCGATATTTAGCACTTATTAATTGGTTGGGTAACATTCTCTGAATACCTGTACTAATTATTAATGTATCGAATAACTTATAAATAGTTTTTTTTAAGAGATCTTCTATGTTAGTAGTTTATACCCTGGCTTGCCAAGTCTTAGATTCTGCACTGACTATATCTACGGTCTACTTCGTAACCATCTCAACAAACGGTAGCCGGGTATACCATGTTATGAGTAAATTATACACAGTACGAAAAAAACAATGATACGTATAATAACGCCGTCGTCAATAGATTTTATAATCATGTCTATATATTATTGTCGTGACGAGTCGACGCCGCGATCTACGATTATACCGTACCTAAATACTATACCATTACCGCGTTATCGCGCCGTCGTCAACCACGGCAGCTCCAGCGGCGGTGGCAGGTGATAGCGGGGCGGCTGCGTCGCACTAATACCACGCTTTACCACGCTGGTAGTCCGGCGTCAAACTCACCGGTGTTAGGTTCTTATTACAGTGACAGGCAGACCGACGTCGGTCTTGCGAACGTGTGAAATTATATTTTTTCATGAGAATAGTATAATTTACAACAACGCGTTAAATTTGTGTTTTTTGTTTTTCATATATCGTTTTATTAAACCTATTTTGACGAATTTTTCACGATATTTTCCATGCCATAGCTAGATCTAGAAAATAGTGACGACAATAATATATGTATATATACTACGTCGAATATAACTATCGACTGGATTACCGAATTTCCAATCTCGAATAACTCTGAAAACATTTATAAGTAAAAATAAATCATATGTTGTTTATGCGTAGTTCGTCTTCTAGTATTTAGCCGGATGTCCGTTAGGATTATGAAAACGTCACCGAGACTACATGCGAAACTGCTTCGATTTTCCAAAATAACGAGATTCGCCATCGTCTTTAAATAAATAGACGACTACACACACACACCTGTCACACGAGTTCAAGTTTAGCCGAGGTAAGGGTTTTATTGCTGTATGATATTTCTTTGTGACATTACATATACGTACAATCGTTTTATGACGTATATCTTCCGGAAGTGTCGCATAATTGTGTAACTACGGTATTTGATATTGTTTCTCCGAAACCTCATCAATCTATATAATAGTGTACACCTGTCACTATTATTATTAAATATTTTAATTTGTTTTCACTATATTTATTAAATCAGGTGTTGTTATTAACAAAAAAAAAAAAAAAAAAAAAAAAAAAATAGCATAATATAGTTTAATCATTGAAGAAAATGTAGTTAAATTATTTTAGAAAAGTATAATTTATGCATACATATATTTTTTTAAAGTTAACTTTTTAATAAACAAAGATATGATATACATTACATCTCCCCTTCGTCTCCTTTATCTTCAAAGGACTTTGCTTATAATATGTATTATCTTCAAATATAATATATATGTTACCTACTGGCTACTACTATACAATCATGTCGTACTATACAATATTTACATAGACGTACCAATAAACATTTATCCTTAAATTAATTTTTGAACATATATATGACGTGCCTATTCTGATTACTCTACGTACAGCGTATAATATGATGTAATAACTAAAATGGAAAACAATTTAAACATATTATAAAAACAATTAATTGTTTGTAAATACAAATTCAATGTACAAACATTGCTTTATTGCTATAATATATAAATTATGGTACAAGTAATATTTGTAAATATTATATGCAATGTATGATCCAAAATATAGAAAATAATAATAAGTTTGTAGACACTTAGATTGAATTATGATGTTTGTTTTTATTTAAATTATTATTTGTTTCAGTACTTAAGTATTATTATTATATTCCATATAGATAATGTTACATTTTATATACAAATTCACGTCATACTGTATATAACTTTACACTGTATACTCAACGATAGTACTGACAATGAATTATATAATAGTATATACAATATACAAGTTGGTAGTTAAATTATTTTATTTTTTCTATTCAAACAAAATAATGATATACTTTTGATATAATAATTACTATATGAATTAAAAGAAACTAATTTCTTTTTTAATTTAGAAACATATATTATACTAGATATTTTAAGGCACGTACAAATATTAAATGTTAATTTTGAAAATTAATTATTTAAATTAAACTTTTAGTAAGTAACTAGACGGGTACTTATCAGAATGAATTTTTGAAATTTTTTTATAAAATTGAAATACCAATTATTATTGAAATATATACACTTCATGAAAATATACCTACAACCCAATTATGTTATATATTAATAATTGTATACATGCATATCTGATAATTATAACTAGGTTTATTATTTTTTTTTATGTAATTAACTAACTCAATACCTAAAACTGAAGAACCAAGGATTTGTATATTAAATATAAATATTATAAATCATGTATTAAATACTTTATCAATGCATATTAAGAAAATCTTATGCAAATATTGTGTATACGATATACCACATAGAATTGATTCCAATATTAAAAACTCTATTCTTCCATCCTTCCTTAAATAATAATTTTATAAATATGATTTAATCAAGTTTATTAAATAATAATTCTACGTCTACTGTTAAACATTACATGATTGTTGAAAATCGTATAATTATTAACCATATAATTCGAAAAAATAAAAAAACAAATTCATTTTAAAAGTTCATATTATTATTATTCACAAATTAAAATGTGTAGACGTTGCAATAATACTGAGTTTATATATAGATACATAACTGTAAACAGTTTAAACTCTTAAAACATAACTAACAACTTTATTGTATTATAGTATCCACCAAACCTAAAAAAATTTCTCAATTTAATTTTTGTCAGGTTTTTTGGTGTTATAGCTACTAAGTGTAATTTTAATAAAAAAAAAAAGCAAATAAAAGTAATTATTTTTTTTACAATAAAAATAGATTATTAGCAGTTATAAACACAATGTATTTGATTCAGGCCTAGTAAATTATATACATATAAAATAATGTAAATAATATATTAGTAATAACTATTACTTAAGGAATTTTTAGATTTCTTGCAATATTAAATATTTTCTACATTTTTAATTAAAATTAAAAAAAATGAAATCAAACAAAAACAAAAAAGTATTTTGTTAGAAATGAGTATAAGCTTAAAATTGTATGTACTTAGTAAGTTTTTTACACATCCAATATAACTAATAAAGTAGAAACAAAATTATCTCATTAAAGTACAGTTTTTTGAAACATTTTAAGTAATATTTTAATTAAAAAATAAGTTGAGTATAAAAAACGCACAGAATCCAAAATTAAATCAATATAATATTGAACAATTTAACATTCGATGCATCTGTCTTAAATCTGTGCACGTCAATAATTATGAAAAAAAAAAGAATAAACAAATTTAATAAAAAACGGTTTTAAATTTTTTCGATATAATCCACAATCACACATTTTACACGCATCATTCATTAAACGTGTCGTTTTATCCACAATTATCAAACATAGTTGTTTTTTGGTTAATACTTGCAGTATATTATATTAAATAGACAAAATTCAATGAAAAGATGCATTTAGTTGGGAAAATATTTGTTTATTTGGTATTTAATGAGTAATCCGTGTTGTGCACTTATGTGTTTGTCAAAATTATGAACATGCATATACCTTATTCATTATGACTATTGATATGATAATGTATAGTATTATTCTAAAATTAAAAGAAAAAAAATACATGATTATTTTATCTGTTTTATAAAATACCTACTACTATAAGTGCTATTATACGAGTACTATAATGTATACTCTTGCAGCTGGTAGACACATTGTATAGGTTCTAGTATGCATGTTTTGTTTGTTTTTTTAAAATTCCAAACTATTGTATATTGTTATCTTAAAAAACATATGCATAAAATAATAATAACAAGGCAATATTATAAACTTGTACAATTTTATTCAATTAAAAATCATACTTATAATGTATAATATTATATCACTTTTTAAACAAATTATTCAAATATATCATTTAATGTTATTCATTTAAATAAATCCATATTTAGTAATTTTAAAAACAGAAATTGTGAAAACCTTAGACTTTAAACATAAATATTATGATGCATACTTCATACATATAACAGTTGAATATTTAGTCCTAAGTTAAGTTCATAATAAATTATAATTTTAATATACTAACTAAAGAAATAGTAACAAAATAAATAACATAGATAATATTTTTTTTTACATATTTGCTCCTAAATATTAGTTATTACTTATTGTATATTATGTAGTATGCTTATTAGTGTAAAATTTAATACCGTTAAATATTATATTGAAAAGCTCAAACTTTAAATTTAAGACTTTAAAACTACAAAATTTTACGTTATACACATAGCTATAAAAATATGATCGTATAAATTACGCACTATACTTAAAACAGTTATAGTATAACCCAAGAAAAAAATTGTATATTTAATAAGCTATATTCTTTATACCTACATGGCCACGTAATTTATATGTATAAAATTAATTCTAGCCAATAATTAACATTAAATTTAATAATATGTTTAAAAAAATGTTACTGTCGAATAATTAAGACACTAATATATTCCTATAAGAAACCAATCGTATCAATAATAAATAACGATTCATGAAATAATAAAACTAAAATATAGTAGGATTACGAATTAGTAGTGAATTATATACAGCGAAACCTAAGAATAACTGATACTCTCGAACACCAAAATTTTGTCCACTAAAACAATTTATTTGGGTATTAATATACATTACATCAACAGATCAGCTATAATCTATACTCTATAGTGTAAGCTAAAAATATCAATCTTTTTATAAATTAGAAACTGTATTGTTGATATTATCCAGTTACAAAATTTGCAGCGGACGGATACATAACACGTAAATTATCAATACAGTTAGATTAGGTTTTGATTTTACCTAGTATACTATACCAACCTTATAAATACTTATTCGTGCATAGATTTAGTAAAGCTGTGATAAAAATTACAATATATTTTTTTTTTTTATCACAAATTCATGATACCAGGTGCTAAAATAATTATTTTTATTTATTAAAATTAAATAAACAAGAGCAAGATGCTGCTTAATTGAACAATTCATCCAAAGAAAACAATTTGTACATTGAGACTCGAAACTGCTTAACCTAGAAATAAATGTTTGGTTGATTCATATCTTTAAAATATGTACCATTATTTCTGTATATATCCATACATTGATTTATTATACAGTCTTATCTCTCAACCCCTAAAATTTTATTGTTTTCTAGTTACAAAAAATTAATAAAAAATATATGTACATAAGTGACATTCTCTAAGTTCTAACAAAGGCGAAACACAGTAACTAAAGATAAAATAAACCTACATTATTTTATTATTTTGGATATCATAAAATATACCCTTAAAATTCATGAATCTGGCTCAAATATATATAAATATATTATTTAGTTCATTTTTTTTTTTTAATAATGACTAGGATGTAAAAATATTATAATTGAAATTCATATTAAATCAGCTTCAATTTACATTTAAAAAAACTTACGGAAGTTTAATAATCTCATAGACAATCCTAATTGTACTGTACGTAGGTTTTCTAGATCTAATTGTATTAACCTTGGAATACCAATATAGATAATCAGGTATTATATTTGGAGAACGTAACTAATGAATACATACTGCTTAGATACTAACCATTTCAATTGTATATGCTTAATAATAAAACGTTAAATGAATATATTCTATTTTTATTAAATTTAGTATTTCAGTTTTAAAATAACTTTAAAGTAATTAGTTTAACAAAAAAAGATTACAAAACTGTCAATAATTTCTCGTCATTTTTAATTTAAAAAAACAAAATATACCTTTGTAATTATATTATACACATTTTTAAACTTTAAAATAATGCCTATAAATTAAAACTAAATTTTAATAAGAAAAAATTGTACATAAGTATTATATTATTAATTAAT